ATTGATGTTCACAGGCGACTGCAGTTTTGTTTTTGGACAATTTATTCATCTGATTATCACTGTTAATGGTAAATTAAATACCTAATAAATTTGTCAGCATTTTTTTCCCGGTGTAACTTTTCAATCATTCCACATTTGTGTTGTTTTCAGAGTTCTAAAAAAATAAAATTCCTTCTTTGATGATAACAAAAACTTCTTGTCAAAAGAAAAAAAAAAGAAGAAAAATTGCTTTTGGAATACCCTATGAAGGGAAGGAAAAAACTGTTATTAACATAGATCTACAAAATTTTTTTTGCTATTTACTCAGTAAAAGGGAAGATTTATTTTTGCTGTAATTTGACACAATTTTTTAATTTTTTTCTGTTGTATTTAAAAATATAACCACAAAAGAAAGAAAGTTCTGTACATATAATGTACATTTTTGTTAACGGTAATTTTTTTTCAGACTTTTTTCTTACTTCTTATTTTTTTTCCTCATGTGTTTTGACTTATAAAATTTATATTCTTTAAGTGTTTTATCGCTTGTGTCTTTTTTTTTTTCATATTTTCTTAGTCATTTGGTTTCATCTGTGTTATTTTCGTTGCAGACGAAAATGAAAAAATTTTCAGTTTTTTTCAGCAGTTTTTGGATTTGAAAACTTTTTTCTGCTTTATTTGGTTGTTATTTTGTTTGGTAAACAAAGATAAAATAAAAATTCTTTTACAGCTGTTCCAAAAAGAATTATTTTTTTTTTTATTTTTTTTTCTACTGTTTGTTTTGTTCAAAAAAAAAAGAGACGGTGATGTTGACAGCACTTCTGCTGTAAGTTTGGTAAAAAGTAATTAGGAGGCAAAACAAGTTGCAAGTTTATTTCCTATATATTTTTTATCGGTATTTGACTTGCTTAACATTGAGCAGTTTGTTGTATAGGACGTAAAAGTGGACTAATTTACAAGGAACAAAAGATTCGGATGATGGGATGAAAAAATGACGGTGGTCATCGATGACCACTGAAATATAATGCATATAATATAGCCTCTTAAGCAGTATATTTTGGATAGGCCATTTAGGTTTCGGCTTTGTTTTTTATGTCTCTATTTGGGTATAATACATCTTTGTCTACCTTTTAAACACTTCTCTTCCTTATCCAATTTTTTTTTATTCATTCCATTCCTTTTTCTGTATTTCTAAATAATCAACTATTTTTTTCATTTCTTATCAAATTCTTCCTTTTTTTTTCTCGTTTATAGCTGTAGCTACAATGGGAGAAGAAGAAAGAGGAGGAAAATTTCGTAATTTTTAAAAAGTCATTTTTTTTTTCGGATATTAGCTTCAAAAGGGGGAAAAAATAATTTTTTTTTCTGCCATCACCAATAACTACAACAACGACAAAAAGAAAAAAAAGTTCTTCAAAAATGTGGACATCAAGTAGATGGCAAATATTTATCTGTATTTGTATACTTTTTTTTTTCACTTTATATTCTCAGAAATGGAGAGGAGAGGGGAGAAAAACTGTCGATTTAGGAGGCAAATAAAGAAAAACAAGGCTTAACACATCTTTTTTTTTTTGTTTGCTGGTAAGGGAGAGGAGAGGTAAATGACGAGGATTTATTGAGGGGAAAGGCAACCGAAGATGGCCATTAAACGGGCACTTTACTATTCTGTTTGTTTTGACGTTTCGTTTCATTAACAGTCAACAGTTCAGTTCACTTGGATTCCATTTTCAGTAACAATACCACAGACACTTCATTAGTCATTGAACGGTCATTAAATGATTGTTGGGACTGTTGGTTGGTGAATATTTTCAAGATTTGTTGACAGTTTTTTTTTTAAAAGTCTTTTTAAGCTGTTCAAATTATCCTGACAATTAACTTTCAGTCGCCATAATTCATTTTCACTGATGTGAATGTCTACTTTTTTTTGTCGTATATATTAATGTCTTTGTTTGATGTACTTTTTCTTTTTTTTTTTTTCTTTGCTGTCAAATCAGTTTATCAGAAATTGAAACTAAAAAGTTTTATATATCAAAAATTTTCAATACTTTCTGTTAACGACAAGAAAGGAAATGGAATAAACGAAAAGTTGAATAATTCGATATAATTGTTGCTTTTTGTGTGTCTATTTGTATGACGGTGGCAAGTCGATGGGCGACATTTATTAGCATAGGAGAAACTGTTAAAAAAAAAAAAAATGACTGAGAGACGATGGTGACGGTGTTGAAAATAGGGGATGGGATAGAAAAATGTACAGTGCTAAGAATAAACTTAAGATAAAAATTTTTTGGCTATAGGTTTGAAAAAAA